CAATTCAGACACGGTCTTTACTATTGCATAAAAAGGTTTACCCTCCTCCATTGCCATTTTCTTTTAAAGCATTACCAGAAGTATGTTTAATGGACACATTTCTAGCACATAGAGTTGATAGTTCTCTATATATCCTCTAAGATGACAGAGACTTTCTCAATAGCTCTTCACATTTCTTTCTGCGTTATCACCAAAATTGACTTTGATGTCCAAAAGTCTACCAACAGTCTCTTCAAGACAATCTAGGCTTTTAATAGTAGGTACCTAAAACTCTTGAGTTTCTATCTATTATCCAATTCCAAAACTACTTTCACATTTTAGTTATCTATTAGAGCGTCAACAACTAAAACCAGCAGGGATGAAATAGAAGAAGTCTACCAACTTCTTTAATCTGAAATTGATCAAACATGCAATCAAGATGTATTGATCATTATTGGTGATTGGAATACAAAGGTTGGGAGCAAAGAGGAAGGATCAGTAGTTGAAAAGGATGGCCTTAGTGATAGATGATGCTGGAGATCACATGATAGAATTCTGAAAAAAATAAATGATTTGTTAATTTCAAATACCATCTCTAGACAGCGTAAGAGATGACTATACACATGGACCTCACTAGATGGAATACAAAGAAATCAAATTGACTACATCTGTGGAAAGAGATGATGGAAAAGCTGTTATTTGAACAGAACATGGGAACACTAGTTTAAAATTAGAAAGGTGTGTGACAGGGTTGTATTATTTCACCATACTTATTCAACCTGTATGCTAAGCAAAAATCTGAGAAACTGGGTTATATGATGAAAAACATGGCATTGGAATTAGAGGAAGATGCATAAAGAACCTGCGACATGCAGATAATACAAACTTGCTTGCTGAAAGTGAAGAGGACTTAAAAATATTTACTGATGAAGATCAAAGACCATAGCCTTCGGTATGTAAAGAAAACAAAAATCCTCACCACTAGACCAATAAACAACATTCTTATCAATGGAGAATAGATTGAAGTTGCCAAGTACTTCATTCTTCTTGGATCAACTATCAACACTCATGGAAGCAGTAGTCAAGAAATCAAACGACGTATTGCATTAGGCAAATCTGCTGCACAAGACCTTTTTAAAGTGTTGAAGAGCAAAGATATCAGCTTGAGGATTAAGGTACGTTGGACCCAAGTCATGGTATTTTCAATAACATCATATGCACACAAAAGTTGGATAATGAATAAAGAAGATCATAAAAGAATTGATGCATTTGAGTTATGGTGTTTGGGGAGAATATTGAAAGTACCATGGGCTGCCAAAAGAACAAACAGATATGTGTTGGAAGAACTACAGCCAGAGTGCTCCTTGGAGGCCAGGATGGCCAGACTTCATCTCTCATACCACGGATATATTGTCTGTAGGGATCAGTCACTGGAGGGGGATATCATGTTTTGTAAGGTAGAGGGTCAGAGAAAGAGGAAGACCTCCAGCGAGATGGATTTGCAAAATGGCAGCATCAATGGCTAAAGGTGGCAACAACTGTGAGGTTAGCGCAGGACGGGGCAGTGTTTCGTTCTGTTGTACATAAGGTCTCTATGAGTCGGTACCAACTCGATGGCACCTAACAACAACAACTACTCACGGCTCTAAAGTCTATCTCAGTCATCTAGTGTAGGTATAGCAGAAATGTCACAGGTGGATGGCTTTTATTTTCTCACAATTTAGGTAGCTATTAGACTGAATTCAGAGCAGTGTTTCCTGTGGGTTTTCTGTCTCTTTTAGCTCTGGAGAAACGTCCTTGTCTCTTCATCTTCTGCTTCCTGTTTCCTTGGAGATTTCTATATATCTTGGCATCAGTCCCTACCACATCACTCCTCTGATTAATAATTAATCTCTTTTATGTCTGAAGTGTGTTTGACTCAAGATACACAGAACACTAATCCTGCCTCACTAACATAACAAAAACAACCTATTCCCAGTTGGAATATACACAATGCAAAGACAATAGAATTTAGGTCATTGGTTTAAACTCATCAGCCAATCCTCAGAAACTCTATGTTGTTGTTGTTGTTAAGTACCATCAAGTTGAGTCTGACTCATAGGGACTCTATATAGGGTATCTGAGGAGCAGTTGGTGAGGTTGAACCACCGACCTTGCAATTCAAAGTAATGTTAGAGTCCAGTGCTTATTCTACATAGTCTCACCAGGACTTCCTATACCAGATCTCTATGAGTCCAAACTGACTCAACAACACTTAAAAAGAAAGCAATACAACATGGGAGTGGGTATAATTCAGTCCATAACTGAATCAATAATAACACAATAAAATGACAGCTGATCTTTCGAGAAGTCTGATGTCTAGTTTAGGAGACTGGCATAAAATAGAAGATAACATATAGACCAAATACTATCAATAATTTCTATGGAAATATGTAAGATGGCAGAAGCAAGTACAACTAAGAATTTCTTGAAATTCTGGATGAGACATGTAGTTGTTCAGGACCTTAAAAACAAAACAGCATGTATGTCATGAAAGAAGAGCAGGATAGGTATTGTAGGCAGGAGCCATATCAAGAACAAAGCTCTAGATTTCAGCTAAGAGTTCTGGTAGCATAGTGATTACGTATTGGGCTGCGTTCCACTGGAGAAAGATGAGGCTTTCTGCTCCTGTAAAGATTTACAGTCTCAGAAACCCTGTACAGGGTCACTATGAGTCAATTCCACTGCACATAACCACCACCATGGTATTTTTGGCTTTTATGATGAAACTATTCTTCTGTGTAGGTGGGTATGGCTGGAAAATATGAGTTGCACCAAGATTGTAGAAGAGTTTTAATGCTAGGTGGAAGAATGTTAATTTTAGTTATAAATATTAAAACAGTTGATAAATATTAAAAGATTTTGAGGAAAATCATATCTTATAAATTATACTGTAAGTAAACATATATAATAACATACAGTGAATTAGGAGTAGGGAGTGGAAAGAAAACCACCAAAACAATAATAGCACTGTCAACATATTTTTAATTATTAAAGTATGTATGAGAAATTTGATTAATTCACCAATCAAATTGTGAGCTTCTGTAATCAGTCCTTTAAAAAATATATGCCCAAACATTTATTTATTCATTTTTTATTATTCACATTGCTACAAATTACTATAATATATAAGATTAGTTGTTTGATTGACAAGTATAGTGGAAATTAAAGCAAAACAAAATTAAAAAACAAACATTGCTTTCTACACATATACACAGATACATTTAAAAACAAATCCCTATATATAACAAATAAGGGAAAATATATCTTTTCAGAATGTCTACAATTATCCAATAGCATTCATGTTTCAGGTGGTAGTTGTGTGTACCAAGTCAGTTCCAACTCATAGCGACCTGGTAGGATTTCTGAGGCTGTAAATCTTTACGGGAGCAGAAGGCTTCATCTTCCTCCCTCATAGTGACTGGTAGACTCAAATTACTGACCTTGTATTTAGCAACCCAGCTCCTTAATGTCATTCATATCACTGCTTAAATAGAGAACAATGTAGTCAAACATAAGAGCCCTCATACCTCCTAGGTAGCCGAGTAACCTTGGTGGTGGTGGTGGTGGTGTGCCTGGGAGTCAGTTCCGACTCATAGAGACTCTGCATAGGGTTTCCAAGGCTGTAAATCTTTACAGGGGCAGAAAGCCTCATCTTTCTCCCACAGAACAGCTAGAAATTTTGAACTATTGACCGTGAGGTTAGCAGCCAGACTCCTAACCTCTACACTACCTGAGGTCCTTTGAATAACATTAGCTCTGAAAAAAACTATTAGAAAAATAACATTATAAAAATGGAAAACTGCATTTTTAGTAATATAAAGTCCAACTTCATCACCATCTTGCTCTTGCCCTTTCATTTTTCTGAGCAAATATGTGTTTCCTTGAGTATGACATACTATTATTGATGTTGTTGTTCTTAAGTACCATCAAATCAATTACTACTCATAGCGAGCGTATATAGGATTTTCTGTATGATGCTGGGGGGTGTGAACTGCCTAACTGTGGTTAGCAGTCCAGTGCTTATCATACAGAGCCACACCAGGACGCCTAGTATCACTATCATGGTGGCTGTAGTGGTTGTGTGCTGATTCATAGTGACTTTCTGTAGGATTTCATTGGCTATAATCTTTAAAAGAAAAACAGAAAACCTCATCTTTCTTCCACAGAGAGGCTGGTATTTTTGAACTCCTGACCTTGTGATTAGCAACCCAATGTGTAAACCACTATGCTACCAGGGGTTCTTTGGTACCACTATATTGTTGTTATGTGCTTCTGAGTCAGTTTTGACTCATAACAAGTCAAAATCAAACCCTGTATAGGGTTTGCAAGGAGTGGTTTGTGAGTTTGAACCACAAACTTTGTGGTTAGAAGCCTAGTGCTGATCCTACAGCACCACTATTCCAATGCATAAAAGCACAAAAAGAAGATTATTCCTATTCTATTCTAAACCTGTGAACATTGTAAATTTAGAGGTTAAAAATCATGGTCACAATAATTTTAGTTGTCTAGGTAAACATAGATTTATATAGGATGTCAGGCTAACACGGATAACTTGCAGTATTTTGGAGGTGAAATCAGAGAGGTTCTATGATGATTTATTAAGCACTTCAAGCACCTGAAAATTATTACATATCAACAGCAAAACCAGTCTAGGTGAAAACAGATTAAGTCATTAGTACTTTGCTTTTAGTAGGAGTCTTGTTGATGCTGTAAGATAAGCATTGTGCTGCAAACCACAAGGTCAGTGGTTCAAATCCATCAGCTGTTCCACAGAGAAAGATGAAGCTGTGGGCTACCATAAAGATTTAAAGTCTCAGAACCACTATGTGGGGATGTTATGAATCAGAATTAACTCAATAACAGTGGGTTTTGTTTTGTTTTGGGCATTTTTAATGAAGTCTGCACTGGAGACCAAACAAAACTAAGCAAAAAAAAAAAAACCAAAAACCCTAAAGAACAATTATAAAACCAGTACTTACCCATATTTTGCAAAATTTGCCCAGCGTTTCATTATGGATCTACTCAAAATTTCCTCAGCTTTTGTGTAATTAACTCTTCTTTCCAGAGGTAAACCAAAGACAAACTCAATTTCATAGCCATGCATCACTCCCATCCATTCTGGCCAAGGAAGCTTGGAGGATTGATGTTCAAAGTAGTATAAAAAGGTATTGTGTCCCAAGTCTGAGAATTTTCTGGCAAATTCCAATACAGGGCATATGAAATTATAATCTCCAATAACATCATCTAAGGCTTCCCGGTAATGTTCTGGTCTCTGGTCATCTAACCAATCTGTATAGTGGAAAAGAATTGATTCCTTTCCAAAGTCACTCACTCCTGGGAAAAATATTTTTAAACTTTCTTGAAATTGTTTTCTAGTTATGATGCTGTTGTTATCTTTGCTAAACCCAGGAGCACCATATACCAAAAATGCTGTCCCTTCATCTTTATTAACGCCCACCAAAATCTGGGTTTTTTTTAATTGCCCAAGCTGGAGCAGTGTGTCTGGCATGTCAGTGAGAAAATCACCATCCACTGTTGGGCCAAAGTTTACTAACAATAGAGACTCATAGGGGACAACAAATACTTCATGCAGAAGAATTTCCTGGGGATCTTTTTTTTGAAGACATTTGATTATCTCAGTTTCATTTTCTCTTGAGCAACCAAGAAATTTAGCTAAAGTCAGCGTTCTGTTTCTGGCTTCATAGACAGACATTACTGCCCAAGGGGCATTAGAGGATCCACTTTGCAGAATGGCTCTGGTGAATAATGGGTGACTTCCAGGAGACAGTAAATGAAGGCTAACAGAGGCTGCTCCTGCACTTTCTCCAAAAAGAGTTACACTTTTAGGATTTCCACCGAAGGCTGCTATATTTTTTTGGACCCACTGAAGTGCAAATTGTTGATCATATAAACCCATGTTCCCTGGTGCCTCGGGATTTCCTGGCAAAGCTAAGAATCCTAGGGCACCCACCCTATAGTTCATTGAAACTACAATAACTCTTTCCACACGAGCCAGAAACTTGCCATCATAAACATGTAAAGATGACGTTCCAGTTTGAAAACCACCACCATAGATCCACACCATGACAGTGGCATTTTTGGGTTGAGGTGCTGGACTCCATATATTTAGATATAGGCAGTCTTCACTAAGGTCCGTGTTTGGGTTCCACATCTCTGATCCATGGAAACCTGGAAAACTTTGATCTAAGTTTTGATAACAGGAGTTTGCATATTTTGTGGCATTCCAAATATCAGACCACTTTGTTAAGGGCTGTGGCTTTTTGAATCGAAGTCTACCAAGAGGTGGCTGTGCATAGGGAATTCCAAGAAAGGCTGTTACTGTGCCACCAAGAACTGGCAAGTTCATTCCTCGGACTCTTCCATTCTTTGTTGTAATTATGATGTCTTCTTCAGTGTGTGATTTCTTGATAAACACACAGAAAAGAAGGAACCACAAAAGAAATCTGATGCATATGATTGTATCCTTGCTCTGCATTCTGATTTCTGGAAGAAAGATAAGGAGAGAATTTTAGTAGCCTCACACATATAATCATTTATTGATGTTATGTAAGTATTATGGAATCCTGGTATGGTGCTGTGGGTTAATGCACTGGACTCCAAGGTCAGTTTGAACCACAAGGTCAGAAGTTCAAGCTCACAAGCTGTTCCTCACAAACCTTATATAGGGTTGCTATGATCCAGAACTAACTCAACAGCACTTAACAACTTAACAACCAGTATCATATTTCTTATTGGTCCTACAAATTGTGAAAATGAAAACTTCTACTACCATAATATACATCTACGTAGAAAAAATAGAAAAGTGTTATAGATATTTTAGTTTTCAATTTAGAAAACAAATAAGGAGAATGGCAAAATAGTAATTATTTCACTTTAGAAAAATTCTTACCAAATTATTTTGAAGTAGCAAGTAGTAGTGTTTTAGGAGCAAGATTTACATATTTTAAGGATTGAATAAAGAGAAACATTTAATCGAAATATGTTATATCATAGAGATAAAAGAGAGTGCTGTGAAGCTGCAGTGTAATAAGACAGAACAGAAAGTCAGAAAGAAACCTAAAGCCAAATTCTAAATACTGAAATCCAGGTAGAAATGCCTTTCATGAAAATTAAAAGTCAGAGTAATAGCTTGATTCAGAAGAGGAACCTTGTCCCAGGCGTATGCAATATTACTATGGACAATCCCATCTAAACTGATGTTATAGGTATACTCTACTTAAAACTTTGATTAAAGGAGGAAATAATAGCACACATATTCTCTGAGATGTGTATGATTTTAGTCATGTCTGGCTGGGACAACTGTAAATGAAGTCAATAGCCTTAAAAGTTCCATAGCCTCCTATAATTTTCCTTTCCTGGGTAAGTATGCTTAAGAGAATCTCTTTTTACTTAACTATTTATTTCTATGATGTTAGTTATGCTCCGGAGAGAATATGGGTATTCTATTCATAGAGTGGACTACAGGTTTGACACTGTAGGATCAGCATTGGACTATGAACCACAAGGTCAAAAGTTTCAACCCACCAGCTGCTCCTTGGAAACCCTATATGGGATTGTTGAGGCAAAACCAACTCGATAACAGCACTTAATAACAGCAATTCATAGAATTTTAAGTAACAAAAACATGGTAGTAGGTGGTTATGTGTCATGGAGTTGATTCGTTCTTGTTTATTCTACAGGTTAGGAAAACAAACAAATATGTTACCACTTTAAAAGCTTATGCTGTTGGTAGTGATCCTCTATAGGGTTTCCAAGCCTGCAAATCTTTAAGGGAGCAGAAAGTCTCATCTTTCTCCCATGAAGAAGCTGATGGTTCTGAACAGTTGACCTTATGTTTAGTCACTCAACACTGAACCCACTACCATACTATAATAAAAAAGTGTTGTGGATATATTTAGTCATTTCGTGAGACAAATTCTGCTTTGTATTTACAGTGTTTTCTGAAATGTTGTAATCATGAATCGTTTTTGCACCAGTGGCCCAGTAGTTTGCAGTATGACATGTGAGGAAAACTACTAGTTCAGGAATTTCATACTCAGAGATATCTCAAAGAACATCTGTTAATTTGTTGATTTATGGCTAAAGTATGTGCAAATAGTTAAATACATTGGAAGAGTGAGAATTTTTACTCAAAGTAATCTTTAAGATCACCAAAAGCTTAATTATTTGATATGTTATTAAACAGATGTAATGTTATTTATTTCTCATATAAGAGGCTATTGGAAGAAATCAAAGTCTGGTTTTTATTATGTATACCAGAGTTTATGTTAAATAAACAAATATTAATAATCACTCTTTGCAAATTTCCCATAACAAAAAGACAAGATAATAATGCAAATGTAGTTTAAACAACTAACACCTTTATATAACTGAAAAAAAGCTGATTAGAATAATCAATTAAAATAATGATTCTCTTTCATGTAACATTTACAAAGATTCATCCATATTCTTTCCTTTATTTATTTCTGATATTGTAATTGTAAATTCAATCTGTGTTCCCAAGGACAAAATTCTGTGAATATTGGGCATTTGTAACAGCATTTCAATTGTTTTAGAAGTAAAAGAATAGGCAATATCTCTATAAATATGGCCCAGAATTAAGATACACACATCACATTTTAAGTTACCAAAATTCCCCAATGTTCATAGTACAGCTAGTGCTCAACAAGTAATTTTTTAACCCAACAAATGTCTGAGTAAATCAATGAATGGTTTACAGTATTTTATTCACTTTCTATACTTACACTAATAGATATAATTATAGAAATAGAGGCAAAGATGTAAGGTGATTATTATAATAGTATTTTTTTCTCAAACCATGAAATTAAAATAAAGGGTTTTTTTTTTCCCTTAGTGTGATAAAATTTGATTTGAGCTAAGACCTGTTGGTTAATGGGCTGAACTGCAAAGTGAGTTTGAACCACAAAGTTAATGATTCAAGTTCACCAGCCGCTCCTCAGAAACCCTATAAAGGGTTGCTATGGGTCAGAACCGAATGACAATAAGACCAGTAAAGTAGATTATTGAAATATGTACTATTTATACTGTAGTTCTATGTTGTTCTTGTAGTTAAGTGTTGTCTAGTCATTTCAGACACATAGCAACCCTGTACAGGATTTCTGAGGGGCGACTACTGAGTGTGAATCACCAACCTCACAGTTCAAACCAACCTTGTGGTCCACTGTTTATCCTACAGTGGCACATCTGGGCTCCACATTATTATAACATTTATATATTATAATTACAATAAATGTATGTTATGTTATGAATAATAATTCAATAAAAAGCAATAGTAATGCAAAGTTGCCTGTAAACTTGATACTTGCTAATGGAACATTATATTTCGCACAGCATAGGAGTTTTAGAGACACTGTTATAGCTCTTAATAAGGACTTTTTCCCTGAGTAAATCTATTAGAAAAGGATAAAAGTCCTGGTGTGGTGCTATAGGATAAGTACTGGATGGTTAACCATAACGTCAGTAGCTCAAGCCCACTTAGTTGCTCCTTGAAAACTTTATACAGGGTTGCTGTGAGTCAGAACCAAGTCAGCAACACATAATAAAAAACATATATCTGAAAAGAAAAAATAAGACACAAACCCTTCTTATTCTGAATCAGGGGTGGTGGCAGTGTGCACTAGAGTTGGTTCCGACTCGTAGCGACCCTGCATAGGGTTTCTGAGGCTGTGAATCTTTACAGGAGCAGAAAGTCTCATCAGTCTCCCGTTGAAAGTAGTTTCAAACTACTGAAAATTAGGGGTGGGGAACTTTGCTACAATTTATAACATCATCCACTGGCCATACAAAATTATCAAATTAAAAACTAGCTTGCTTACTTAGTGAAATGTGTAATTAACTCACCCCTAATGTGATGACTAAAAGGAGCTCTGGTAGCGTAGTGGTTACGAATCGGGCTGCGAACCTTAAGGTCAACGGTTCGAAACTACCAGCTGCTCCGCGGGAGAAAGATGAGGCTTTCTACTCCC